CGTGTTTCAAAAAGATTTTCGCGGAGACTGAGACGGCTGAAAGCGCACCCTGTTTCTTTTCTTTATTTTACAAAAGCACAATGTTTTGTAGATATTGTGAGTATACATGAATAAAAGTAGACCCTTTACAGATTCAAATGATGTACTACACTTACGTGTATGATCAAACATGACGACGCATTTTAAGTTCTTTTCACGGTTACCAGAAAAAAATGCAAGTGTCCCCGCCGGCGGGTCCGCCGACTCCTAAGGGTTAAAATCACTTTTAGATGGGTGTGTGAGAAATTTGATACACTTTCGATGATTGATTTCCTCTCCCATGCTTGCATAGTGGGACAAGGATAGTAGTCCAATTAAATGGCCTCATTGAGCTATAACCATAACTTGACTTAACTGTGCCTGTAAATGTGCTGACTGTTAACTGCTTGAGCAAGGCCCTTAATCCTAACCCCAACTGCTCCAGAGACTGACTCTGACTGGTTCTGTTTTCTCAATTGTAGGTCATTTTGGATAAAAGTGACTGCTAAATAAATAAATGTTTTGTCAGTATTTGGACTTATTTCAGTTTGGTCAGTCACCCTTGTTGTTACAGGTTTGTGTCTGACTGGGTGTACAGTGGGGTGTTCCGGGATGTTTACGGAGAGTTCATGATCCAGGTCAATGATGACTACCTCAGCTTTCGAGGTAAGACCTTCTGGCTGGCTGAATGTTTACTGAGAGTTAATGGTCCAGGGGTGTTTCTCAATTTGCATACTTGACCATACGTCTTCCTGTTTTACATAATTTTCAATTGCCCAAGACCAGTTCCAATATTCAAGAACAGAAATACAGAGGATGGTAAAAATCCCCAGATGTCGTTCTTGGCCCCGCTCCAAATATTAAGGATACATCAGTTGCATCCTTGCCAAACGAGATCAATCCCATGATTCAGTTTGTTCTTGGGAGGCAAGTTAGCAAGACCAGTCTTGCCAAGACCACTAGTATGTTTTTTGCATTCTTGATATTGAGAAACAATCCAGGTCAATGAGGACTACCTCAGCCTTCAAGGTACGATGGCTGAATGTTTACAAAGAATTCATGTTCTAGGTAAGTGAGGATGACCTCAACGTGACATAGGAGAATGAGAACAACCACATCCTTCTAGGGTTTCTCTGTGAAATCCTGCTGATGTGTACTTTTAATCTGAGTGATGATGTTTTTTATTGTTGAGGATGCAGTATAGTGTTGGGGGACGATGTCAAGCTCAACATTCTGCAAATTCTCCTGCATTCTGGCTGACCCTGCGTTGTGACCCATTAGCTCTGTGTGTCTCATGGGGAGCAAGATCTGATGGGTGGAAAAAAACTTTTCCCCAGGAGTATCAATAAAGTATCACTACACACTATATTATATAGTTACTAGAGCCTGAAGTTTGATTTTTATATTAGCTCACCTTTGTGCTTTCCTCACTGTCACATATCTTGTTTATCTACAGACGTGGACAAATTTGTTGGTACCCTTCCACAAGACACAAAAGAAACACAACTATCTCTGAAATAACTTGAAACTGACAAAAGTTGAATGGCATGGCTTATTGTTTATTCCATATTTAACACAAATCAGACTTTGTTTTTGATTATTGATACAGCTGAATATTTAATATAATTAAATTAAACAAATGAAAACGGCACGGACAAAAAAGATGGGGCCAACATGCGATCTCTGTACTTCACAATGAGACATCTGTATTTGCCAACTGGTACTTTGGCCTACTCTTAAGGGGCAAACTGCTCAAGCTGTCTCAGGTTTGAAGGGTGGCATCTCCACACTGCAATTTTCAGATCTTTCCATAGATGTTCTATGGTAGGGGTCGGCAACCCTAAGCACGCATGCCACATCTGGCACGCGGAGGAATTTCGGGTGGCACGCTGACGATGATCACAATAGAGACCTGCACTCCCGCGGGAGTACTGCGGGACCCGCGGGACCCAACGCACCGAGTGCGGCGCGGGACAAGATTTGATGGGTGAATGCGGGTGCAGGCGGTAAGGTCCTCATGTATGTGCGGGTTGCGGGAGAATAGAATTAATCGCGGGACTCCCGCAAAATGGAATTACCTTAAAATATATTTATCTACTGCACAAAAGCAACAAGAACGACTAAATTAAAGGCTAACGCTCTGAAGCAGTACTAGGCCAAATGCTTTTCTGTTTGACCACTTGAGAAATCAACGTTTATTATTATTTTGTTTCATTGCAATATTATTAGCCTATTTCTAACTGTTCTAAGTGTATTTCTATGTTCTGAAAAGCTCCTCGTTCGTGTCCATGTTCATCATTCCATTTAATTAAAATCAAATAAAACGAAACATATGTTTATTTTCCGTTTCTTTTTTATATATACTCAAAAGGGAAGCAAGTGAAACAAATAACAGAGTAGCGGGAAGAAGCGGTAAAAATAAAACTACTTTTATGTTTACCTGCGGGAGTTTGCGGGCGGGAGCGGGAAAAAACTTGAATATTGCGGGCGGGAGCTGGAGAAAATAATATATCTTTTTTTGTGGGAGCGGGACTGAAAAATTCATCCCGCGCAGGTCTCTAGATCACAACCCTAATTATTAAATACATTTTTAATAATTTTCAGACGTCTTCCATGATGTTGAAATGTCATTGGCTGTTGCTTGGCTTGTTGCTTTGGTTTGACTACTCGATGGTAGCCCCCGTCGTTAACATGGCACGCGGACTAACAAGAAAATATATAATTGGCACTTCATGTCAAAAAGGTTGCCGACCCCTGTTCTATAGGATTAAGATCTGGGCTCATGGAGGGCTATTTAGGAATAGTCCAATGTTTTTTTTTTTCTCAACCATTCTTGAGTGCTTTTAGCTGTATGTTTTGGGTCATTATCCTGTTGGAGGACCCATTACCTGCGACCTGAAGCTTTCTGACACTGGACAGTATGTCTTGGTAGTCTTGAGACTTCATTGTGCCCTGCACAGATTCAAGGTCCACCGTGCCAGATGCAGCAAAGCTGCCCCAAAACAAAACCGACCCCCCTCATGTTTCACAATAGGCATGGTGTTCTTTTCTTTTAAAGCTTAAAATTTCCTTCTGTAAACATAGAGCTGATGTAACTGGTCAAAAAGCTCCAGTTTTATCTCATCAGTCCAAAGGACATTCTCCCAGAAACTTTGGGGCTTGTCAACATACATTTTGGTAAATTCCACTTTTTTATGTTGTTTTTGTAAATAGTGGAGCCCTCCTGGGTCTTCTTCCATTATTGTTCAAAATGCGACTGATGGTGCTATCAGAAAGTGACGTACCTTCACCTTGGAGCTCAGTTTTAATGGTTTTGGATGGTTTCCTTGGTTTTTTTGTCTACCATCCGTACTATCCTTCTGATCAACCTGGGGTTGCATTTCCTCTTGCGTACAGGTCCTGGGAGGTTGGCTATAGTCCCATGAACCTTATACGTTTTAATAATATTGGCAACTGTGGTCACAGGAACATGAAGCTGCTTGGAGATGGTCTTATAGCCTTTACCTTTAATGTGGTTATCTATAATCTTCTTTCTGAGCTCCTCAGACAGCTCTCTCCTTTGCTTTCTCTGGTCTATGTTCAGTGTGGTGCACACAATGATACCAAACAACACAGTAGCATGTTTTTTCCTTTTAAATAGGCTTAATGGCTGATGAAGAGCTTGACGGCACCTGTGTTATTAATTAAGGTTAAACACTTAGTTTGAAATATGACTATAATGCAAGGGTAAATAGTCTCTTTAGGGGTACCAACAAATCTGTCCAAACTATTTTAGAATATCTTTGTAAAATGAACAACAGATCATTTCTTTTAGAATTATATTGGTATACTCTACCACATACTAAAGGCATGCAGCTATACATTAGACAATTGCGTTTAAATTAATCACATTTCAGGAGAAATGAAGCAGTTTCAGTTAGCTTTTGTGAAATGTAATCTACAAATACCTGATTTTATTTTACTATGGAGCATTGTGGCTCCATATGGTTTTCAGCAGGTTTTATCTGTCTTTGTAAACTTTGTTAAATTCTCAACCACTATTGGCAAGAAGTGAAAGTGAAATCATTAATCAGATCTTCCAGACAGTACAGTGGTACCTCAGAACTCAAATTTAATCCGTTCAGAACTCCAGATCGAATCTTAAAAAGTTCGAGTTCTGATCGAATTTCCCCCATAAGAAATGATGGAAAACCAATTAATTGGTACCTGTCCCCCAAAATTTACACCTAAATGTTTTTTTTAGCATTTAAACACAAAATGAACCAGATAAAACAAGAGCATATACTGTACTAAACACATCTAAGCACATTTATCAAAACAGTAATTTGTAAAGTAAGAAAATAAATGTATCCAAACAATGTGTCCTGCCTGATCATCCGCTCCTTCCGCGTGTCACGCCCCCTCATTAACCCTGTGTGGAATCCCCGTGTGATCAGCTGTTTCTGGTTGTTTTCATTAGCCCTCTGTAGTTCGTCCGCGGTTCAGTTTGTTTCCCCAGTCCAGTCATTGTATTGTCCGTCTGCGTTTTGCCTGCAATCACCTGTAATTAAACCCTGTATTCCCCGATACGTCTGCGCCTTTGTCTCCGTTCCGTCTCCACTCGGCACAACAATATTATTATAATTAAACGTATTAATGGTTTATTATTAATATTAAAATAATGAATAAGAAATCTTTATTTTAAAATGTATTTGTAAAATGTATTCAGTTAGTGTAAACATGCACGATGCTATCACAGCTAATGTGAGGCTGAGTGAGACTGAAGCATTACCCTTTGATTCCGCTGAGAGACGTGCTGCGTGACTCATTTCCTGGCGCATACAAGTTATCTTAGGTCGGCGTTCACGGTTTGAATTCTGAGATTCAGATCGAGCTCTAGGTATTTTTTTTTCTGAACTGGTTGGTTCGACTTTTAAGAAATTCAAGTTCTAATGAGTTCAAGAACTGAGGTACCACTGTAATGTGTCAAGATGGTCTCCTTCCCATTTTCAGACAAGAACTTCTGGGTGCAGGGGTACACCCTGATCTCTCAGAATGTTGAAGAATGTGTTCCGGTCTTTCTGCGTCACATTGCCAATGATGTGTACGTCTGTGGGAAAACCATCAATTTGCTGAAGATATGCTGCCCCCAGGTGGGTATCCGGAGTCAGTGCCTGCATCACAAAGTGATATTAATCATTTTTGGAAATAACATGTAAAATATACTATGTAAAATCATTTCTGTGTTGAGGGGGTGGCGCTGTGGTTAGCATTGTTGCCTCAAACTTCTGGGACCAGGGTTTGAGCCTCCCGCCATGGCTCCATGTGTGGACACTGATACATCACAGATGAGCTGTTTTTCATACTACATGAACTTGTCTTAGCAGACCATTTTTCTAATGGCATTGACATTTGAGTGGTGTGATTGACTTTGCCTTTCAAGTGGAGTTGAAAGTTACTTTGGCATATCTAAATCTGAAGTACTTAGATATGTCTGTTTTTAAACTCTACATGGATTAAAATATAAAGTCATATATTCCTGTAAATAGGGAATAAATGCAAAGTTTTTTTTGACCCTGAGGTCTATGAACGGAGGGATTGATTAATATGATCTGCACACAGGAGATTTAATAACATCCTTGGTACATTAGATTGTGATACTACACAAAGGGGCTACACAGTACACTGTTTTTCACCTGTTCAGTAAACTTTCTATAAATACTTGTTTCACTACTTGTTAGCCATTTCTTTGTGATTTTTTTTTATCAGTTATTTCTATCTTTTTATTTTTCATGTTCTCACTTTCACTGAAGTTAAACAAAAATTTTGCTGAAGCCACTGGCTTGCATTCATATGCATATTCCCGTTACAAGTTTTTTCTTTTTTCTAGTTCCAATATCATTTTCTGTCCAGTTTTTTTTTTTTTTTTCTTCTTTATGGATTCTTTATAGAGATCAGAGGTTACATAAGTCTTTTTCATTTTTTTGTCATCCTTCTATTTTCCAACATTTAAAGAATCTATTTTTTTATGGTTTCTCTGCATGTATTAGCATAATTACTGGAAATATATTTTTTACACCAAGCCACATAGAGGTGGGGAGACTTAAAAGGGCATGCATTTCTAAATATCACATATTTTGGATGCAGTTCCAAGTGGTGTGCCAGTATGACCCTGCTAATTCTCCCCACCTCTGCCCCTCCCTGACTACAGCATTATATCTGCTGGTCCGAGCTGCCTTTGCCCCGGATTGCTGTCACCTTCTCCTTGCAAGAAGTGGAGGAGATTGAGCGTGACTGTGCTGTGTATCGAGGCCGCATGGAAAGGATTGCCAAGCAGAGTGCCCTCAGCAGGGAGGAGATGGTCTGTTGTGTAATCCTTGGAGTGTATGGGGCATGGTGCATACCACAGAACAAGCATCTCAATGTCATGTGTACTGTGTTTGTGGGGTTCTCTTCTTGTTTGATAATATTGTGGAAGGCCTTAACAGGACAATTAAAATGGGTGATGTAACCTTCTGTGTTCTGCTCCAGACCCTGCATGCAGAGCAGGCTCGACAGGAGCTGATTGTGCAGGTCAGAGAGTCTACAGCCAAGACTCTGGAGAACATTCGAGGTAGGCATTGTGATGAGCACGGTGCCAGACCCAGGATGTAGGGGAAGTGTTGCGGGGAACATGCTGGATGAGATGCTCATTCGGCAAACCCCCAGTCCCAGATATATGAGGCAGCAGAGATACCTACTGAGTCACTACACCACCCTGATTTGAAAATACAGAATAAAATAAAATTGGGATTGACTGGAATATTATATTTAAAGTGATACTATTTAAAAAGCTGTTTTAAGCAGCAGATTAAGTCAGTGAAAAGCAAAACATAAACCCACCACATTATCCTGGATTATATAAAATAGTCTTGTTGACTATACCCATCAGACCAACCTCAGTTCTCAAGGGATGCAAAAGCCTCTACTGTGCTGAGAGATAGGATATCTGAAGGGAATCAGGTCATTAATAGATGCACCATCAATGGCCTACTGGCAATGACTATATGGGAGTTCTTCCTTAGCAAAGATTGAGAAATTTCTTAACTAAAAAATTGTGTTTTAAAAAGATGTTTATGAAATGAAAGGCATGCAATTAAACTACAGCCTTTAAATCAGATAAACTCAAATAAACCAATAAGAAGCAAGACTTCCCAGATTTCTCATTGATGTCTTGGGGCTATAATCGGCATTACTAATTTTATTAATTGAGTCAAGCTTGGAGGCTTTGTGGTACTTGTTGCCTCATACCTCCACGGCTAGGGTTTGAATCCTATTTCCAATCTTGTCAGTCAGCACTAACTTGAGTGTCCAATAACTGCCTTGGTCCTTCTTTTCTAACCCTGCAGGCCGCCAGCTGTCTCAGCATCTGGCGGCAGAAGCCAAGAAGAGGGAGCTTTTCGAGGAGCTGAAGGAGCACCTGGAGCATGACCAGGAGGTGAGAGTGTGACACAGATGCTTTTCGCCTGTGAACAATCTTGAGGACTGTTACAATCCCAGGTCTAGGTCTAGGATTAACATTGTTATTATTTTGGGTTAGGACCAAAAACACCACAGACACCAAAACATAAGATAAAATAGAAAGTTATGCTTTTATTAACGCGTGTGGCAAGTAAAGTGACGAATGACAATACCTAAACGGCGGGAGGCTATAGGCGGCGTCAAAGAAAAGAAATAAACAAAAGGGTCTAAATAACCTACCTATCCATTTAATCTCCAAAGGAGAACTACTCAGTCCTAACCAAAAGTACATAGGTTACACCTGCCCCTAAACTGGTGTGACTAGACATTCAGTATTTCTACGTGTGGTAAATGTACATGCGCGCACATTATAAACTGAGCCCCACAGCCTTAGGAGTCAGGTACCGGTATCTTGGCTACTACAATGAGCAATTTGTCGTTTAGGATAAGTCCTCGCACTTAAGCCATCACGGTGTAAACGTGCACCAACATCAAGCACAAAGGCATCTACACTAGGGTGGGGTGAAAAAAATCAAAATTTCCAATAGCAATTTCCAATAGTGCGGAAAAGTTGTCACTGGACCTCGTTATTAAACGTGCAAAATATCTTTGAAATAGGTTAATATTTTCAGGTTCCGCAATGCGATCGAAGTTTTCACCTGTCACATAAATGGGCAATATACACTATCCATTATCTATACTCATCGGTGTTGTGTTTAGAACATAAGAACATAAGAAATTTACAAACGAGAGGAGGCCATTCGGCCCATCAAGCTCGTTTGGGGCGAACTTAACTAATAGCTCAGAGTTGTTAAAATCTTATCTAGCTCTGATTTAAAGGAACCCATGGTTTTAGCTTGTGCATTTTCACAACAAATGTTAAAAATATTAAAAATATTAACCTATTAAAAAAGATATTTTGCACGTTTAATAACGAGGTCCAGTGACTTTTCCTCACTATTGGAAATTGCTATTGGAAATTTTGATTTTTTTCACCCTACCCTAATCGACACATCATACGAACGAGAAATCAAAGGAATCAAAAGGGAGAGTCAAAATGAGGATCGAGCAAGGATGCCAGACGCCATGGTGCAAGACTCTGATGCCCCTGTGCAGGTCGTTCTGTCTCCTTATAAAGTGAAGTCTCCACCCCAGACGTCATCAATCCGCTCCAACGGAGTGACCTGTAACGCAAAGAGCAAACCAAAACCACACACACAGACCAGACCACGGCGGCACATAACAAGGACATTAACTGCTAATTCAGTATCACCATTGTAGCCCCTTTACATTCACTTTGGATGGAGGAAGATTTAAGGAGTTTACAAATGAATATCTACAGATTTTTTGGACAAAGTTTATTAATAAACTCAGAGGGATTATTTTTTATGAATGACATAAAAATAAATGGAGTGTGCAGCTTGGCTGTTGAAGAAGAATTGGTTCCAAAAAAGCCTGTACTTTGATTGCATGGAAATGATTTCAATTTGCGAAACCTAATGTGGACCAGCCTACTGTATTTTGCAAACTGCAAAGGTACCATTTGTTCAAGACGTGGTAACGCAACTAATTTTTTTAACCACCTGAAACTACCGTTTGACCAAGCCCCCTTGTTAGAGTACCTGCCCCTCAAAAAGTATGTGCATGTCACTGCTAAAAACATTTGTAACAACCCATTTAATTCAGCATTTTTTATTTGAAAAGGTAATTTAAAATATTTTGCTTAGAGAAAGCGAAGTTCATTAAAATGTCTAAAATGTTTATTCTGCCAATTATTATTAAATTAAGTAATTTATAAAGTAAGAAAATAAATGTATCCAAACAATGTGTCCTGCCTGATCATCCACTCCTTCCGC